GGATTGCTCCTGTCCTTGGACCCCTCTCCATCACAGTGAGGCTATCCTTGCTCCTGGCTCAAGATCTGCTGAGCTGGTCTCAGTCTCTCCCTTCCTGGACTTGCGCCAGACCTTTTTCCAAATGTATAAGCTTTAAAAAAGATTTAGTACATGTTCATGGTACAGATTTTTTAAAAGCATAGAAGAATATAGTCGCACAGTTTGGTTTCTGGAACCAGCCACTGTTCCCAGTTTACTGTGGTCTTCAGAGAGAGCCTGCACTTTGACCTGCACACACATACACCATACACAAGTGTGCACACACACTCCTCACCACAGGCACATGTGCTTGTACTCCCCCATCGCACACTCACAAGCACCTGCATGCACACACACTCTCCCACCACACGTGGTGGCATGTGTGTTCTTCTGTACCTTACTTACATCCTGGAGATCTTTCCATTTAGTGCATCGAGAGCAGCCTTACTCTTATAACTATGCCTAGAACCTCATTGTCTACCTGTGCCAGAACTTATTAGGGATTACATTCATTATGATTACATTCATAATGAGGAATTGGTACATGAACATAACACATCTAACCTGTGACATACTTCTTAGGAGTGAGATTTCTAGGACAATGAATGGAGTCCACTTCTTAAGATGGTGGACATTTCACTTTTGGTGGGTAGTATCAGCCTGACCTTGCTAGAGCTTATGGTTTGCTCTCACCCCCTCCCCCCGTGAACATGCGTGTTTTCCACACTCTTCAACACAGTGTACTTTCAGACTCTGGGTTTTGCCAATCTGATAACAACAACAAAAAAGATCTTAGTGTAATTTTGATTTGTATATCTCTAATTATGAGTTCAGTGAGCTTCTTTTATGTGTTGAACATAATTTTTACTCCTGTTTTGGTAAGCAGCCTGTCCTTTTGCCTGTCTTTCCTTTTTCTCTTTCCTTTTGTGTTTACTGTCTTCTGTGAAAGACAGAGAACAGAGAGAACACAGAGCTCCTGGCTCCTCCAGTGTGGTCAGCAGCCTGAATACTGCCTGGGTTTTTATTTGGTGTGAAACCCTTTTCCTTGCTTATTCTTGCAGTACAGCATGTTATAAAGAAATTAGCTCTTTGAGATGTGAGCTGTAAATGATTTTCCTGTTTGTCTTTGAAAAAGCCTTTGACTACAGTGTCTCTGCACATGTTTTTGTTTTTGTGTTTTGTTTTGTTTTAAGAGGGGTCTCCATGTGTAGTCTGGGTAGGTCTTAAACTGGCTCAGTTGCCCTGGCTGGCCTCATACTCATGCTTGTCCTGCCTTAGCTTGGGGTTACAGTGCAGCCAGCACCACACCCAGCTCCTGAGGTTTCTGTTTTTATCTTGTGTTGTCTCATCTCTCAAGCCTCCAGCTGCGACTTCTGTCTTCTGGTGTATACTGCCCTCTCCCTCCCTAGAGAATCCAACAGAATTAGCTCATTGCAGTACTTTCAGTAGATGTTTTTGTTTAACTATTCACTTTTAATTTATTATGCCATAAAGGATGAGGTAAAGATACTACCTGTTTTTTTTTTCCTCCAGACCAATAGTAGTATTAAATTGTCTCTTTTCCCCTCACTAATTTTTTGCTTCTGTTTGATTGATTGATTGATTGATTTTTGAGACAGGATCTCACTATGTGGATCAGGCTGACCTTGAACTCACTATGTAGCCCAGGCCGGCCTGAAACTCATGGTGATCCTCCTGCCTCAGCCTCCTGAGTGCTGGATTGTGGGCATGTGCCACCACATGCCTCCCCCACTGATTTTAAACATCACTTTTATCAGACATATCATTATTTTATATATGTGAGTATATATTTCTTCACCTCCTTTCTTTTCCGTTGATTTGCCTATGTAGACATCACTACCACATTTCTTAATTACTAAGAATTTTTTCAATAATTTTAATATTTGATTGAATGTGATGGCACACTCCTGTAATTCCAGCACTTGGGAGACTGAGGCAGGAGGATCACTGGGAGTTTGAGGCCAACTTGGGATATATAGTAAGTTCAAGATGGGTTTAAACTACATGGCAAGAACCTGTCAAAAAAATAATAATTTAAATTCTTATTTACATCTAGGCCTCTTTTCTTTCTCAGAATTTTCTTGGCCATTTTTTTTCTTGGTACAGTGGGTCAAACCCTAGATTTGTGCATGTTATATAGGCTTTCCACTGTTGCTCTGCATCCCCAGCCCTCTGTCCGTTTTTTTTAATCCACTGTTTTGGGTTTTTTTTTTCTTTTAAGTTTGTCAATGTTTATATAGTCTGAGTATCAATCCCTTACCAGATGTATGACTTGCTACTATTTTCTTTGATCCATAGGCTGTCTTTCATTTTGTTGACAGTTCCTTTGCTTTGCAGAAACTTTCAATTTGGTGCAGTCCACTTGTCATCTGTTTTTACTTTTGTTACCTCAGATTTTGGTATGGTACCAAGAGTCATTACTGAGGCCAACGTTGGGGGCTTTTGCTCAGTATATGCTTCTCCGAGTTTTACCATTTCAGATTATATGTTTTGGTCTCTATTGTATTTTGTATTGATTTCTGTGTGCCTTAGGTCAGGGTCGAGTTTTATTCCTTTGTGTGTGGAAGTCAGCTCTCTGAGCACCACTTATTAAAGAGCTCATTTTTGACTCAGGCTGTCTCCTTGGTCAAAATTAGCTGCCTACTGTGCCTTAGTTTACTCAGGTCTCTCTGTTCTAGTCCATTGTTCTCTGTCTGGTTTTATGCCGGCACCATAATGTTTCGATTAATGTAGCTTTTAATTTGAGATTAGACCTACTGATTCAGAAATTATGGTAATGAAGAAATACAAAAGCCCTTTCCTCTCCCATCTTGGCTCAGTCCTCTGATGGTGGTTACCTTTACAGGTTTGATGTACAGCCTTCAAATTTATTATATAAGTGTATAAATTGTGTTTGCGTGTGTAGAAATGGAGACCTTTAATTTTCTTCTTCATTTGTAGGGAGTGGAGAAGGGACTTTATCAGGACCTCTACCATGGGTCCTGACCTGTGAGCCACCACAGCACAAGGCGAATTCAAGAACAGACAGAGCCGGGCATGGTGGCACACGCCTGTAATTTCAGCACTCAGGAGGCTGAGGCAGGAGAGTCTCTGAGAGTTCAAGACCAGCCTGGGCTACATAGTGAGTTCTAGGGCAGTCTGAACTACACAGTGAGACCCTGTCTCAAAGAAAAAGAACAACAACAGACAGAAACGAGACTTACCTAGAGTGGAGAACCTGAGTCTTGGGTCCTGATCAGTGCTGCTGATGGCAGCAAAGACAAAAGGCCACCAAGCACAGCCAGTATTTATTGAATACAATCATGAGAAGGAGTAGGGAACTTTGAAGTTGTCTAGTGAATTGTTGCCAAACATCTGGCGTGATGGCACCAGGCAAGGCTGTCTGGAAGTAGGCACTGCTTATCTCGCTAAGATAGAACTGACCAGTACAGGGACCAGGTGTAATGATCAAGCAACCCACAAGGTCAGTGAGAAGTGATAATTCAGGGAAAAGGATTTTAATTGGGGTCACACTGACCTCAGCTGCACGTAACTCAGCAGGGCTCTGCCACTTCACTGGCCAAGACTCACGCCTCTGTGACAGCAATCCTAGCCCAGCTCAGCCAGCCGTTATGCCCATATGAGTCACTTAGAGCTTCAGTCTGACTCCTGATAGAAAGCGTCATAGCCAAATTAGGGAAAGCAGGAATCACGTGCCACTCATAGCCCGCCAATAGTGGGCAGGGATGTCTCCTACACTCATTGACCTGTGTGTTCTGGACTTCATTCCATGGTGGTATACAGAGAGGTCTCTTTTTCAAGGTTGCGCAATTTTCCATTACAGAAGTATTACTTATTAGCCCATTACTGAATTTGCCCTTGTGTAATTAACTCTGTGCAGTTTATGAGACTATATGTAAGGAAAAATTCTAGACGTGGACTTCTGGAGAAAGGGAAATGCATGCTTTACATTTTTCAAAGTATTCTCATATTTTCCCCAAGAGATAGGGTTAACTTATACTGTCTCTAGAACCATGTGATAGTGGCTGTTTTTAACTGATCCTGTTATTAGTGGGATTTAGTACTTTTTAATACCTACTGGCCATTTTTTTCTTCATTAAATTCAAAAGAACTAAAGAGATAAATTTTATTTTTCCAGTATGATTCTATAATTTTGTCCCATTTCTGTGTAGTCAAATGTGTTAGTCTGCTTTTGTGCTCTGCTTAGGAAGACTTCTTCCCCAAAGTATATCATCTCCTCCATTTTATGCTAGTCTTTAGTTCTTGGAATTTGTTGCTGTGGAAAGTACAGAGCAGACTAGCTTCATGTTTCTTTTGGTAGAGAGATGCTTCCCCACATTGTTTCTGAACTGTTCATCCTCTGCTTGCTGGTGTGATCACTATCAGTAATAAACCTTTCACTGGAGTCCTGTGAAATAGAGACTATGACTCAGCTTTATAGCAGATATCAAAATTACTTGCTAAGATGCAGTAAGAAACTTAGAATGGCTCCTGTAGCCTACAGTTACACAGAAACATGCCTTAAAACACACTACGAGTGCCAGCTGAAGCAGCACACGCTGGTAAGCCCAGCACTCTGGGAAGTTGAGGCAGAAGAATTGGGAGTTTGAGTCCAGCCTGAACAACTTAGCGAGACCCTATCTCAAAAAGAGGACTAGGGATGGAGCTCAGTGCAAGACCCTGGGTTCAGTCCCCAGTACCATAAAAAACAAAACCACACAACAAAAGCATTAAGAATGTGAAATGGGAGTTTTTTTAGCTTTGTGTAGTTTGCTATCAGCTTCTTGGTGCAAATGCCTGATACTCATTTATTTGCTTGTGATGATTTGTAAATCTTGTTCTAACAGGCAGAACAGAGCAAGCAGTTAAGTAAGTTTTGGTGAGGGGTGGTGCACCTGCCTGTGCTCCCACATCCTGGTTGTCCTCTGTCCTTATGCTGCTTCTCGCCTGTTCCCTCACAGCCCAAGTACGACGGCCAAGTTCTGCTGATGCAGGTGTGGAAGCATTTAAATCTGATTGAATGTGACTACTTCGGTTTGGAGTTTCAGAACATCCAGTCCTACTGGGTATGAGTTTCTTATTTATTTTTGGAAATGGGCTCTAGCTCTGTTGTAGAGCATTTGTGATGGGCCTGGTACAGAGCCTTTTGGGACTTGCTCTAAGCAAGGTGTTTGGTCATCATTCTTATCAAAACTGTGCTATTAAAGTGTTTTCTTTTCAGCTACAGGGAATATATAAGTCTGCCTCAAATCTAAGCCTGAATCTGTATCTGTCTCTTTCCATTAGTCTGTCTGAAGAAGCCCTCCTGAGTTACCATGGCAACTCTGGTCCCTCCCCTTGCCCACCCCATAAGCATTGTGAAAGTGGTTCTTAAGCACACAGACTGATTCTGCCTGTTTGCTTTGCAGGTATAACCTTAGAAATTGTGCACCTTTAGTATTTACAGATGTAATTGTTGCAGAGAAACCACTGGGACTCTCTTTATTCAGAAAGCCCTTTGCTGCTGTTGCACACTCATCCTCTGCTGCAGAGCTTCACCTCCCTGCTGCTCTGTCATTGTTTATAAATGCAGTCTGTTCCAACACTGTTTTGTGTTTGTTGATAGCTCACATCCTGCATTGGTACTGGGACCTGCTCTGCATAATGCTAGCAGGCTGCTGTTGGCATGGGACAGCAGTTTCAGTGTCCTCCCATTCTGCTGACTTTCCTGACAGTTCATCAAGATTAACCTTGTGTATGAGAGCAGAGTCAAAACCTTTCTGTCATGCCTTCTGCTGGGTGTAGTGATGTACACCTGTGATCCCAGCACTCGGGAAGTTGAGGCGGGGGAACACTGCAAGTTCAAGGCCAGCCTGGACTACATAGTGAGTTCAAGGCAACCCTAAACTACATAGCAAGACCCTGTCTCAAAAAAATAAGTAAATAATTCTGTCATAAAAATTTCTCTTAATTATAAATATTTTTGTATTTTATTGCATATTAAAGGGAAAATTATTTACTAGTTTTTCTATTAAATCCCCTTTAGATTTGGCTTGAACCTATGAAACCCATCATTAGGCAAATACGAAGTAAGTGCTGTTTAACTCTTTAAAATTCCATTTATTTAAGATGCCTTCTTCTGTAATGTTCAGGCTCCAGATTGCCCATATGTTTATCATCCACTTCTGGGAGATGGTACTGATCATTGGTGATGGGTAAACTTGAAAGTCACTTGACTGTTTAGTTTTAAAACTGCAGTAGGTGGGGGGCCAGGGATTTAGCTCAGTGGTTCCACCTCCTGCCTTGCAAGCACAAGGTAGAGTTTGATCTCCAGTACCAAAACAGTAAAAATAATAAAATAATAAAATAAAACTACAATAGGTGGGTGGGGGACAGCAGTTTAACTCAGATGCTGCTGAGTGACTTGATTCAAATTTAGAAGTTATAGGATGTGCAGAGCTGTGGCTCAGTGGTAGAAGGATTGTGTAACACATGTGACATCCTGGGTGTGGTACCCCTACCCAGTTCCAACAAAAATAAAGGTAAAAATGCACAGGATATATTGTTCGAATTTTTTTTTTTTTTGGTACCAGGGATTGAACTCAGGACCTTGTACTTACAAAGCAGGCAGTGGCACCACTGAGCTAAATCCCCTGCCCTGATGTTTTAATTTTTTACCAATATGTAAAAACTATAATTTCTAGGTTATGAAAAAACATTGAGATGCCTTTACATAGTATTTTAGTAAAATTATTAATATTATGTAATTATAAGCAGAATTATGTGCATAATTACTTTTATTAGTTTCTATATTAAATTTAAAATTTAGGGTACATAACAATGCTACCTAGCTTTATATCACCTTGAAGGCTTAAGTGTAGTTGTCTAACTCATTTTTTTTTGAGAACGAAATTGAGAAAAGATTATGTAAAAGTAACTTTGTTGTGCACTGATAAGCTAAGGCTATTTGCCATAAAGTTTTAGAAAATAAGTCTTCTCTGCTGAAAATCACATGGTCATCTTATTTCTAAATTTCAATGACTTGAAGATATTCAAACCATCTATATCATGCATCTTTTCTTTATAGTAATTGTTGTGGTTTATTTTCATAAGGGGTTATGACTTTTTTTTCACTTATGGATAGAAGGATTTCAAAAATGGATGGTTTTTTTGGGGTTTTTTTTTTTTTTAAGACAGGGTCTCACTATGTAGTTAAGACTGACCTGGAGCTTACTATATGTAGCCCAGGCTAGTCTTGAACTCACAGTGATCCTCCTGCCTCAGTCTCCTGTGTGCTGGGATTACAGGTGTGCACTACCACACCCAGCCAAAAATAATGGATTTTTGGAAAGGGGGTTTAGCTCAGTGGTGCTGCCTGCCCTGCAAGTGTAAGGTCCCCGGTACCAAAAATAATAATAATAATGGATTTTGTATTACTACAGTTAATTAGTATAAACACCTTCACTCTGTCATTTTACCCTAAAATAAAAATAGGCATATGTCTTAATTTGTTTTTGTTTTTCTCAGTACTAGGAATTGAACTCAGGGCCTCAGGCAAGCACTGTGCCACTGAACTGCATCCTTAGCCCTATATTTTAAAAGTAGCTTTCTACTTATCTTTAAGAGTTTTTGCATAATCTCTACTTATAGCAAAAGATTTGAAATTTCTCTTTGATATGTGTGATTGGCACTTAGGACTCAAATTTATGCATAGAAAAATTTTTATCGTATTTGAAAAAAATTGTTTTAACGGTCCTTTTGAAAACACCAGCCTTGTAATAACATATGGAGAGAATATAGAGATTGACTTCATTTGTGAAGCTTAAAATTTTTTGTTTTTGTAGGGCCAAAGAATGCAATGCTTCGCCTAGCAGTAAAATTTTTCCCACCTGATCCTGGCCAATTACAAGAAGAGTTTACAAGGTAAAGAGCTGAGCTGACCTGGAGCTGCTGTCATCTTTGGTCTTACATTCATTCGTCTATCACGAATGATTACGAGCTAGTGGTAGTGTACAGTGCTATATGAGCTAGTGTACACAAAAAACTAGTAAGTGTCAAGTAATTAAAAGAAATTTTTTGGCAGTTGACTCTTGCTCAAATGTGCAGCAGAATTTAGAAGAAAGGTTGGTTTATGGTACAGACTTGAGAATAAAAAGTGGAATGGTGGTTAGGGTGATTCTGAACAGATAATCTCCAGATGTGCTTGGGTTTATGCATGTGTATGAAGTTCCTAGGACCAGGTGAGATGTGGTGATGCCCAGCTGTGATCCCAGCACACGAGGGGCTGAGGCAAGAGGATCGCAGGTTTGAGCCTCGCCTCGGAAATCTGTCTCAAAGTAAAAGTAAATCTGTCTCAAAGTAAAAAAGGGATAGAAATATTGCTCAGTGCGAACGTCCTGGGCTCAATCACCAGTGCTGAAAAAAAGTTCACCTGCCTGTTTATGTATTGACAAAATCCACATAATTGGGAGAAGTGTGTTGTGTGATGGTCCTTATGAATATATAGAATAAAAATATTTGGGATAATTTATTTTGTGATACTCTTTTTAATTCAAGGTTGCTTTTTTGCAGAAATGATTGAAAGAAATGTTAAAAATATTCATTGAGCAATAAGATTATGGAGATTTCTTTGTTGAACTTTTATATCACATATCTGTTAATTTTATACTGGGGAATAATATAAAAACCTGGAAACCTCAGGCCAGAGGCAGGTGAAGAAAAGAGGATATTGCCACAGTTGCAGCACAGTGACTCAGGCCTGGGTCCCAGCTGGTACAGGTTGCTGAGAAAAACACCTCACCTTTTGCCCTCCCTCCTAAGAGGGAGAGAGGTCACCAGATGATAGCGACAGCACAAAGTCTGTGTCAGCTGCAAGGAGCAAGGAGAGCCCATCAGGCTGTTACTGTTCAGTGAATGAGACTCGACTCCAGGGCAGCAGAAGTGCTCCATGTGTGAACACAGAACTTACCATGCCAGTTACCATGAGGTCACTAAATGTATACTCCCAAGAACTATGGAAAACAGAAATGTCCTCATTTCAGACAGAAATGTTCTAAAATCCTGGATCTGAGTTTCAGGACTCGGACTAGAAGTTCTTTTTACAGTTACTTCCTTCTTTCTCATTTTTATGTAGAAGGTTCTTTTTTTAAATTTCTTAAAAGTACTCATTTGCGCCCCCAGAGGTGGTGCATACCTGTAATCCCAGTGCTCAGGAGGCCTCTGAGGCAGGAGGATCACTGCAAGTTGGAGGCCAGCGTGAACTACACAGTGGCACCCTGTCTTCAACTATCCCCCACCAAAGTACATGTTTGTTTCAAAAGAAAGAATTTTCAAATAAAGCTGTGTAGAATAAAAAACAGAAGTTCCCTGGCCTGCCCATTCACCCTGTTCTCCAGCACTCCTGAGGCTCACTGACCTGCAGCTTGTCCCCACACCACCCCTGAAGAGCGCGCCATACCAACTAGTCCTGCTCACTTGAGCACACATTTTTTTCTCTGAAAGCACTGTGAAAAAACATCATTGTCCATGTATCTTTGTGAACTCCAGGAATATTGCCATAGGAATGAAGCACTGAATTAAGGTTTATCTACTTTAAATTTTAAGAGAATATAAAAAATTGTAATGAATTGCACTATAGTATAAATTCCAATAATGGTAGAGAGTTTGTCTTGTTCAACATTGTATTCTAGCTCCAAGAACAGTACCCAGAACATAATAATACATGCTCAACAAGCCCAGTGCCTTCACACTGAGCTGTACCCCCAGCCGGTTTGGGTAGGATTTTTTTCTTTTAATTTTGACACAAGGTCTCACTAAATCCCTAAATTACCCAGGCTGGGCTTGAACCTGTGTTCCTCCTGCTTCAGCCTTGCAGAGTTATGAAATTACAGGTGTGTGCCAGCACTCCCAGCTATAAATATTTTCACATTGCCTTCTTTAGTTATATTTCCACGAGTGGTATTCCAGAGTGCCTATTTCTCAGACCCTAGTCAAGACCAAATATTAAAAAATTTCACAGGGAGTTTGAGACCAGCCTGGGCTATGTAGTGAGTTCCAGGTCAGTCTCAACTACATAGTGAGACCCTGTCTCAAAAAAAGAACAAAAAAATTTCACAGGTGCATTTTGAGCTGTCTTAATTTTAGTTTTTTTTTTAATTCATTAAGTTTATTGGTACATTTTGATATACAACATGATGACATTCATCATTGGGAATTTGTACCTTTACATGACATACCTTGATTCTTATTTTTCCCCCATTCCCCTGCCTTCCCTTCAACCCCTCCACCCCTCCCTATTTACAAAGACTTTGTTTCAGTTTTTTCCTTTTCTCATATTTTTTCCTTTCCCTTCTTTCCTTTCCCCTACTCCCCCCACTTCCCCTTCCCCTTCCCCTTTGGACCTTTTCTTCCTATTTCACATTATTATACATTTTAGTCCTCATTTACATTTTCAGTTTCTCACACCACAGAAACTCTTCAGTATTTACATGTGTGTCCTATTTATTTCACTTATGAGTATGGCCTCAGTGTGCATCCATTTAGCTATAAATGTCTCTAGTTTATCATTCTTTAAGGCTGAGTAGTACTCCATTTTATAAAACCGAATCTTTTTCATCCAGTCTCCAGTTGATGTGCAATTGGGCTGTTTCCAAGTTTTAGCTATTACAAACTGTGCTGCTCTGGTATGATGCTTTTAATTCTTTTGGGAAGATACCCAGCAGGGAAATAGCTGGGTCAAGTGGGACCTCTAATCCCAGTTACTTGAGGGTGTATCTTAAATTTTATATTTCTACCGTTTCATCCAAAATTGTGAGTGCAGTTTTGTAATATGAATTTGTAACTTCCTCTTGTGGAACATATTCCTGCATATAGTGTATGGTGTGGATACTAGCTTCTCTTTCTTTCTGTGTGTGAAGTGCCTCTGTATTTAGCACCTTCTCTGTGCTCTCTGTAGTATGTGACTCAGCCTGCTGAATCACATAGTCACTTGCTCTCTGCCTGGTCCCAGCGGCTGCATGAAAAGCCTGTGCCTGTTTGGTGAGGGCCCTGCATGCCACTCGCTGTTTGCTCCTGCTACTTCCCTGGCCCTTGTGTTCTTTCACTGCAGAGGTTCGCTTGCGCCATGTAAGAAGACACTTGGAGCTGATCTCTGTCTTGTTTTGGACCCCCTCTAGGTACTTGTTCGCCTTGCAGCTCAAGAGAGACCTGTTGGAGGAGCGCTTGACTTGTGCCACCTCTACAGCAGCCCTCCTCACATCCCACCTGCTGCAGGGTTTGTATCACAGCCACTGTGAGATGCCACTGACCAGCACCTCAGGGAGCCTCATTTAACTGCTGGTGCACACGCAGTTAGGGACTGAGCCTGGCTAAAGAATGGGGCATTTCAGTTTGCAAGCACTGGTGATGAGCTGCAGTTTACTTCTGCAAATTGGAACTCCTTGTTGCACAGTCTTTATCCAAAGGCTCAAGGCCAAAATCTGTAGCCACATTGTTTTGGGTTGTCTCTCATCTGTGCCTTTATACATTTTAACAGCAATATAAAACCCAGCATGGTGGCGCACACCTATAATCCCAGCACACAGGAAGCTGAGGCAGGAGGATCACTATGAGTTTGAGGCCAGCCTGGGCTACATAGTGAGCTCAAGGCCAGCCTGAACTGTGTAGTAAGACCCTGTCTCAAATAACCTAAAACAAATTCATTCAGAAGCAACAATATATCTTCAGTTGAGAGTCAGACCATAAGGCAGACTCTCAGCATGCCCAAGAAAGGGGCTTTCTAAGAGTAGGGGTCACAGTCCTCTCTGGAAGATGAAAGCATACCTTCGGTATCTCCCATGGAGCTAGAGGTGATGCAGAGAGTGTGAAAAACTCTGATTGCCTCAGAATCGAAGAAGTGGAGATTTCTGAGAAGCAGTGTGTGCTCCCCGGGCCCCATCTGGCTGCTGGCTGTCGTGCTGGAAGAGGCCACAGCCCACATTGCTTCTGGACTGGAATTCAGCACATTCTCAGCAGCCTGACTTTTCCAAGGTTTTAGTGCAGGACATCTGGCACAGAAAGTTTTGGGAACTAGCAAGTATAGAATGCATGAAATTATAAAGATACATTATTTGAGAGGCCCTGAAGGAGAAATACATTTTAAAATACATTGTCCTGGGCCGGGGAAACCTCAGTGGTTCTGCTACTTGCCTTGCAAGGTCCCGAATTCAATCCCAGGACCAAAAAAATTAAATTAAATTAAAAATAAAATACATTGTCCTGATCAAGGGCATGGTGGCTCACGCCTATAATCCCAGTGCTCAGGAGGCTGAGGCAGTTTTGCCACAAGTTTGAGGCCAGCCTCAGCTATATAGTGGGTTCAAGGTCAACCTAAACTGCGTTGTGAGACCCTGTATCTAAATAAACACATACATTAAAAAATATACTTTCCTGAAAGAACAATGCATTATACTGGTACTAATAGTCATGAGTACACAGCAGGTCCTGCTGCACTTAAATATAAAGTGTAGTTTTAAAAAATAAAGCCAGATGTGGTAATACATACTTGTAATCCTAGTGCTGGGGGGTACTGAGGCAGGAGAATTATAAGTTCAAACCCAGCCTGCGCAACTTAGCAAGATCTTGTCTAAAAAAATAAGACAAGGATTTAGGGTGTAACAGTGGAAGGGTCCTGATTCAGTCCCCAGTGCCACTGATGATTGATTTGTTGGTTGCACACGAGACTAAGCTTGCTATCCACCTTCCCAGAGCCCTTCACTAGAGTCGTTGGGAATAAGAATAATTCCTTTTATTTGTCATACTTGCTTTGGACAGCATACAGTACCTGGAAAAAATACAGAATATTGGGGGTTTTAGCAATATAATACATATTTTATTGCAGACTTAACAGTACTTTTTTACTGTTAGTATATGCATTTGACATACACATGCTCATTTATTTCAAAATCTGAATGACAGACTTTTTGTCTCATCTCAGCGGAAATAGGAGATTATGACGAAGCCCTGGACCGAGAGCATTTGAAAGCCAATGTGTACTTGCCCAGCCAGGAACAGGCTTTCGAAAAGATCCTGGCCTTCCATCAGAGGCACACGTGAGTTGCTCGGTCGCTGTTGTGAATGGCTTGTAACCAGAGGGCTTCTGTCCTTCTTACCCAGGCCTCAGGGTCCAGTTTGCAGCCACTCCTGCAGACCCTGCTGCTTTAGGAAGGGATGGCAAGGACCTCAGGGTCTGGGGAGAAGAATGCTAGCAAGCAGAGTGCCCTGCCTGGGCAGGAGCTGCTTCTGGCATAAAGGAAGCTGGAAAGATGTGCTGTGTTCTTCGGCATGGTAAGAATCCTCCTTTGAGTGGAAGCAGCCCATGCTGTGGCAGAACGCAACATGACTGCCACGCTGGCATCCACCTTCATTGATATACTGTGCTTTGACTTCTCTAACCCTTGACACTGGTGCACTCTGGAGGGATGGAAGCAGTTGGAGTAGTGTCCCAAGAGCAGGGGCTGCTGTGGTCTGGGCCTCTGCCAAGGCAGAAGCTCCACCTCTGACAGTTACCTTGCTGTTGCGAAGGGGCTGTTAAGCTGCAAGTCCACTTTGTTAGATACTGCCCCAGGGACACTGTGCTGGACCCTCCTGGTGGCCCTTCTGTGCCCCCCACCTCATGTGGATGCCTGCCACTGCTGCAGATCAGCCCCTGTCATGGCACTGGCAGGGCAGTTGGGAGAGCACAGACTGGCTATTGCCCTGTGAGATGGACTCGATGCATGTCGCTGCTCACAGTGCTGAGCGCTGGCATTTTGAGTTCTGCTGCCAGCGAGATCCTGTTGTGCAGAGAACACAGCTCCTGCACTGTGAGCTGGGGTCACCAGCAGTGCTCCCACAGTGGAGTGGTGCAGTGAAGGTAGAAGAGTCCTTAGGGAGGCCCTTTGAGGACCAGCCAGATGGAAGGGCAGGAGGCATCCAGGCAGAGCATTAGCGGGGGTGTGGGGGTGTCTGGCAGGATGCTGGCAGTTGCAGGTGAAGCACTGGTGTGCACAGTGCTAACTGATGCAGGCGGCCAAGTGGCAGTGCCCTGGTCAGCCAGGCTCAGTGTCTGCACACACCCAAGTGGCAGGAAGCTCAGCTTTCTCTCTGGATGCTCACTTTTTCTACCACAAGCATCAAAAACTGTTGAGCATCCTTTACTTATTTTAGTCATTCTTTGTGTAGGCTTTTAAAAAGACAAGAGTGTACATTTATTTTAATCAAAATAAGTTTGTCTTATGATTAACAGTTCTTAATGACCCACTGGAAGCACCTTTACAATCACTAGATGGTATGTTACGGAAGTGCGTTTCTCGACTTTACCATGTGTATTTTGAATCTTGGAAGCTGCAGGAAATTTAAAGTTGACTGCTCACACCTGGGAGTACCTAATGATGACTTGTTTTGATTAGGTATACAAAGTTAATACAGAAATGAGTAGCAAAATCACTGGGCATAGTCACACATGCCTGTAATCCCAGCTGTTCAGGAGGCTGAGGTGGGGATCACAAGTTTAAGACCAGCGTGGTCAGCTTGAAAGAGCCTGTCTAAAAATAAAATTTTAAATGAGGATGTACCTCAGTGGTAGAGTCCTTACCTTGCATTCATGAATCCCTGGGTTCAATTCCTAATATTGCACACACACAAACTACAAGAAGGAGAGGGAAAGGGAACAAAATCTATATTTGTTAAAGTACATGTTTTAGACAACAAACTCACGGTTCATCTCCCTAAGTTTTTTTTTGTGTGTGTGTTGTGTGGAATTTTTTATTCTTGTTTTTTGTGGTCATGGGGATTGAACCCAGGGTTCAGTTGAACATTCTAGGCAAGTACTCTACCACAAAGTTATTATAGCCCCAGCCCTTTTTATTTTTGATAGAGGCTCTTGCTAGGTTGTCTTGGCTATCCTCGAACAATCCTCCTGCCTCAGCCTCACAAGTAGTTCCATTAGTGGTTATTGATCTGTGCATTAAATGGTAGAAAGGCAAGTCTTAAAAATGTTCACTGAAGGCTTTACTAATACCTGTAACTTTCAGAACTGGAACTTCATCCTGGGCATTCTCTCTTATCGGTGATGACTTATTAAACTGCAGGTGCCAGGCATCTGCATCCTAATCCCTAAATGGAAATCATGGACCAAAGAAACCTACCAAGTTGCACAAAGATTCCAAAGCTCAGGCCTTTGAAGTAAAGAGAAGGAAAAACATGTTACAAGAAGATCTCATGTGTGGGTTCAGGCACTAAACGTGGGCACCCTGGCAGGAGCACCTCCCCTCTGCCCTTCTGAGACCTCAAGAGCATCACTCCCGGTGGCTGACCCCACCCAGAACAGACTCACTTCCAATTCCTGGTGATGGGGCCTAGGCCTTGGACAGGACCCACATGTTGTGTGTTGGGAGATATTTCTATGGATAAAACCACTTGTTTTGTCAGTGTTTTTCATTCAACTTCATAAATTCATTTTAGTGTGTTCTAATGGCTAGAAATGTACATTATGAAAATAACTTCTAAAATTATTAAAATGGGCTTCAGAAGAAACTGGCATCATCTGTGGCATTTCCTCCACTTCATATTTGACAGCCACAGCCAGGCTGGGTGGTACATGGCTATAATCTGAGCACTTAGGCTGAAGTGGAGGATCACCATGAGTTCAAGGCCACCCTGAATTACAGAGTGAGACCTTGTCTCAAAATACAACAAAAAGTTGACAGCCCTGTACAGTATATGGTTTGCACATGACCATGTCACTCTCAAGCAAACTATAAAGCTGAGTATCAGCCACAGGAGACAGTCTACACTTTAGTAGGTGTGTTGGAATAGAAGAATAGAGAGAAACTGGCCTGCATGTGTGGTGTTTTGTTTGTGCAGCAGTTAAATACAGAGGCAGTAAACCATCTACTCTGAAAATAGTCTCCTTTGTTTGTTGGTCATTTGATATTGTTTTGCTTAGTTTTCTTGATCACTTCTCTGATATGTTTTGGTTCTTTCAGTGATAACAGTCAATCTATCCTTCCTTACAGGGGCCAGACGCCTGCTGAGTCAGATTTCCAGGTGCTGGAAATTGCTCGGAAGTTGGAAATGTATGGCATCAGGTTTCACACAGCTTCTGACAGGGAGGGGACCAAGATTAACCTGGCTGTTTCCCACATGGGTGTCCTTGTGTTCCAGGTAGGCAGCAAGGGGCAGGGACATGGCAGGGTGGTGATATGGTGATGCAGTGCAACTTGGTCAGGTTTCTGCTGTGTTTATTGGAAAATTTTTATTCTGATGAATAAGATGTTAGATTTGGAAGATGAAATTTGCATGTTGCCTGATCCAGTCTTTTCCTGGGTAGAGAAATGGTTTTCTTATCCTGCTGTAGTACAGTGTGATTATTCTCACTGCCCTGGAGCCCCTGGACTCCCAGTTGCTCACTGATCCCCACAAGGTTGCCCTGGCCCCAGGATGCCCATCTCTTCTCTGTATTCATTCTGGTGTTGAACCAAAGGCCATTCCCTTAAAATCCTACAACTCTCATTTCTAGGGGATGAAACTCTGCCAAGCTTTGTCACAGGGACTCTGGGTACGTCACATGGCCAGGGTGCTGGAACCTGAAACAGAAAGCCTGGTCTTATCTCTGTGAGAAGCTGTTGCATCTCAGACAGGAGGTGGAGCAGCTGCTCCCTCTGCAGCAAGAGGCCAGATCTCTTTACAGGTGTGAGTCCAGGGGAGCGATGAATCAGCTCCCTCAAAGTACAGGCTCAGGAGTGCACCCTACACACACACACACACACACACACACACACACACACACACACACACACACACAC